GCAGGAAAAAAATTCAAAATCTGGGTCTATTTGTAATATTTTGTCAAATACGAAGAAAAATACTAAAAATTAATCAGAAATTAACAAGTGATGCATACCTAAATATAAAATCATTTTAGAGTAATTAGGTCTCAAGGTATTTAAAGCATAAAAATAAACCCATCATCCAAGAGAGAACAAAATACTATTTCTCCAGAACTGAAGCTCTGATATTTCAGAAACAAAACAATCGTAGGATACAGTTGGATGTATAATGACAAATAATCAGGACAGAGTCATGCAAAACAGCATCTCAACAAGCATGAACTGACTATAGAGTTTGTGTGAAAAGAAGGGGTTTTCACCAGGACTGACTGGCAAACTAAATGTGGCTGCAAAGATCATCTTTATGGACAATAACCAGTAGGGCATGCATCAGGCTCATCAGCAAGGACACACTTACAAGTAACAAACAAGAGAGAAAGGAAGAGTCTGGATAAGAAATCGAAAAATACAAACATAGATAAATGGCCAGATCTAAACAAATCCTGTGTAGGAATCAGCAGTGCTACTTGGACAAAGCTCAATGTGCGAGACGTGAAAATCAAAGACGATTACAACGCGCATACATTTCGTAGCCAGCCTGAAAAGCAGAACGCTGTTAAAAGTGAGTAATACCACAGGAGATCAGGAAGGTTTAGATACTAAAATAAGAGGTGAAATCATGGGGTCATATAGGTGACTAGCAAATGACTCAGTGTTCATCAAGATCATAACTTGCAGGTTCCCTCATCTAAGACTTCATCATTTTAGGGGAAGGAGGACAAAAAAAATAAAAAATAAAATAAAAAAAGGACAGCTGAGAGTCATAAAACTGAATGAAGAAAACAAGTCAGGAATGCTCTATCTGCAAGTCATCTGTGCAATAACCCAGAAGGGAAAGCATGAGAAAAAAACTCTGCTCCCTTGAAGAACTGGAAAAGCAGTTTCATAAACATTCATGGGCTGAATCAAAGGCACACAGAACGTCAACTACAAGATTTTTGCGACAGATGTCATGTCTTCCTCCAGTTAGTGTGCTACTAAGAACGATCTCTTCACTGGACGATTGTACTGTCTTTCAAATTTGTAAATGAGCTGTCAAAGAGGTAGGAGCGTGCCATCAAATCAGAGGTTAGGAAGCATCCAACAGGAGTATTGGTAGAAAAACAGTTTGGAAGCACTGACGGAAAAGAAAGGCAAGTGCTAGATTATATCCCAGTTCAGAGTTATAAAATGGAAGATCTGCACAGAAGATTTTGTAGCACATACAAAACTACAGTGAAATCTCTGCAGCTGAACTGTTCAACTGAAATTAAAATCAAAATAGAACCGAGTCTCAAGTCATACATAACACTAAAAAAAAAAAGAAAAAAAAAACAACTTTGCCTGGCCTATCCTAGTACTTTGCTAATTTTAACATCACTAAAACAAGCTTGTTATCTAAAACTACTTTTAAGATATATTTCAAGTTTTTATTACAGACTGAGCTAAACGACATAATAGATAGTAAAGTCATCATTGAGTTATGCTGCCTTATACCAGGCTGAGGATGGCAGCAGGAAGAGCATTCATTTACTCTGTGCATTATATTTCTTGTATTTTAATGATTTTTACCACACAAGCTTGCAATCACGGTTCAGAATACTAAAACAATTCAGTCAGGATGAACCCTTATGGTCCCATTTCCTACTGAATTCTAGCAGCTTCAGGAAAGATATAAAAGACTTAAACCCATGCAGATTATTTGACAAAACTAGGACCTAAACAGATTGTTAATTGTTAGTATTGTTAAAAGATTGCAAAAAACTTAAGTTATCAGAGGAGCAGTAAATTACCCGATAATATATTAAAGCAAAAAAAGCTCACTTACCTTGCCTTGATATCTTTTATCTTCTTAAGAAGAACATCCTTTTTTTCCTTTGCTTTCTTGGATAGATTTTCTCCTTTTAGGGTTTGGGAAATAAATGTGTCGACATCTAAATCAGGAAAGAAGGAAGAAAACGTGTATCTCAAGTGGTAACTTTCTAAAGACAAATACGACTGTAATGAGTTTGCCCTGACACTACTATGGAGAAACTACAAAACTACTTTCCGGCCCACACACACCACAGTTAACAGACGTTTCAGATTCTAAATGGGATACATTTGTTCTCTGATCTACTTATGCTTAGCACAGCAAACGCTATGTTGACATTTGATTCTTGCTCATTTAATTATGCCAAATAAGCCCTAGTAAATTGCAGCACTATAACAATTACTTTCCATCACCTAAAGTAAGTGATAAAGCCAAAACATGTAAATGGCCTTTATGCATGTATTACTGCCACATTATTTCAGAAGTTCAAGTTACAAAAATGGTTGAGTAATTCACTATTGCAGCAGTAATGCTTGCACAGCTACTAATATAGGTCATTTATTCGTTTCATTATTTTCAAATATTCCCACACTGCCTCTGAACTCCCCACTAGACTAAAAGTCCATATAAAAAGCTCTAATCCTGCTAACAATTAGGCAGTCACCACAGTAACCATATTGAAGCAGTCAGGATCAAACATGTATTTGGAAGTTAAGTGTATCTGCACTTGTAGAATTACAATGCAGGTTAGAAACTTAGTTTGTAGTTTTTTATTCTTATACAGAAGATATATATATATATATATATATATATATATATAGTGCCATGCAAAATGAAAGCATTCAATGACAGTTACTGTAGTTCTTTGTAATATAGTAAACATCCATTGCGTAAGTTAAAAAACAGTGAACTCAGTTTCAGTGAGCATAACAACACTGGTAGAGTGTCTTCTTGGTTAACAAAAATAATTGCCAAAGTTAACTGTAAAAACTTCTTACTGTTACCAATCAACATATGATTCTCCTGAAAGCTAAAAAGTAGAAATATATTAAAAAAAAAAAAAAGTCTGGCTTGTGGCTTTATCTTTCTCAGCTCTTTGGACAATACCTGTTCATTCAAGATGGGAACATATATGCAAGTCAAACACTCCCACACTGCCCCGCACACACATTTGCCAAATACACATGTACACTAGTTGTGCCTAAGTAGAGTATGGGTGCCACTATTTTAATTCTGTAACTTTTCATGTTAGGCAAGAACCATTTTCATTGTTAAAACACAAAACAGCCAATTAAGTACTCAAAAGTTTGCATAGAAAAACTAACATTTTAAAGCAACATTAAGCTGAACGTTTACTACAGTTTTCTTACCAAAGCTCTAACTCTCTGGTTTACATTTTCTTTATAAAACAAAAGTTTAACAAAAATATAACCCACCTTACATTTCAGGCTGTAAGAAAACAAATTAAGTCAAAAGTTAACTGTCCGAGAACTGTAACATAGCCATTACACATCTGTCATTCTTTAGAAATAAATAATAATCTGATAAATTAGATGTTTGGATTGGCTTGCTGTCTTCACAAAACATGGTAAAGTCTCCAGCCTTTTTTTTTTTAAAAAAGTATTCTAAGTGTTTTCTAAAATGTATTCCGAACAATGATACCGTTCCCCTCCTCACAAGAGGCAGAAAAAGAAAACTTTTCCCATTACACGTTCCGAAGCAGTCCTAGACTGCAAAAAAAAAAAAAAAATCTCAGTTCTATGGCATTCCTTCTTTGCAAGGACAGAAGGAAAGGCACTTAACATGGGTATTAATGAATCCTCCAGACACACCCTCAACAGCCTCTATGCTGGAAACCAAGTATCCCTGGAAACATTTTGTCCTAACCTACAGAAAATACATACATCTTCCCAAACTCCAAGGATTATAATTTCTGAGCAAAGGGGCATATGAGGACCCATGCAATTCCAAGACACTGACCATCCACAAAACTTCCCTGAGGTCAAAGGATCTGATTCTCTTGCTATTGAAGGCAAAAACAAAACTGCCAACAGTTTATCTCAATCAAACCCAAGAGGATTTTCCGGTACAGACCAACCATTCGCTCCGGGAGATGCTGATTAAAAATATGTTCCTTCATGCTTTTTTATTTCAAAAATTAAATATCAATTTCATAGCGCTACTTAGATAGCAACATGTGAAAGCTTGGTGTCACTAGTCACATTTATAAATAAGGAGTGACGCTTACACTGTATTCTTCAGACACTAATTAATCACAGAACTTTGCCTCAGAAGTCTTAATTTAAATTCAGTGGCCTTCCTTACTTCTTGGAAAAGTTCAAAACCCAGCTGAGAAGTCTGTCATCTCAGGTTTGACTGACTGTCAAAACTTTCTTCAAACACAAATCATTACATAACCCAATTTAGCAAAACGAAGAAGTGAAACTCTGTGGATTACCATAAGCAAAAATTATCTCCAGCTTGCAACACACTGTAGATACAAAAAGGCGAGGACTAATTACATTGATGGTACAATCTGTTCTTTTCTAGGAAAGCTTGAACTTTAAAGCACAAATATTATATAATAATTTTCAACCACGGAGGAACAGGGCAGAAGTAGATGCTCCATCCGTTCTCAGTGTTGTAAAAGCCGATGATGACTTGGAGGGGAGGGAGCAGAGAGTGAGAAGGAAGAGAGGGAGAAAAACAAGAGAGAGCAAGCATGCACAACTTCCTGAAACCATCTACTGTTCCTAAATAGCAGCAGTGACAGAGAAGACATCCCTGGGATATCTTCCCTCTCCTATGAACTTGCAAAACAAGTTCTTTGAGTTAAGGTAGCCACAAACAACACAAATTATATTCATCATGCAATACAGTTACTTCTGCAAGGGCAGAGAAAGCATCTAGCTTGACCCATCATAGCCCCCCAAATACAAAGAGAGAACCGATGCATGCATCATCTTGAGCAGGATGCTGAAGCAGCAAAATACTTCGAAACACCACATTCACCATACCATTATTTTTCTTAACTGCTCACAGTTTTACAGAATGTTCTGTATTTTGCTCTCTTCTAGCTTTGCAATTCCAGTCAAATGCACATAAGCCAAGTAACCTACAACCTCTTTGGACAAGAACCAAGAGAGTTATCTAAGTTGCGCTCATCCCTTCCCAACCTGCCTTTCCACACTGTTGAAACGTATGGAAGAAATAGTCCCCGCTACTAGAGAAAGTTTCGTCACTGGCTTAACTCAAGTGAACATTCATTCACTTCATTTCTAAGACGCTCCTCAAAGTGACTTTCCTTAGAAGCAGAAGAGAACTCAGGACTTCAGTATGACACATACAAGGCTCATACAGTGAGCTTCAGAGAGAACAAGCAAAATTTACCCATTTCTCACCAATATTCAAGTCACTAATTCACTCTTTCTTCTCCAAGATGATCCAAAAATCTGATCTCTCCTCTGCCACTTCAACACTATACAGAAAATGGAAATGTAAGCTAGTAGCCATAAGCACTCAAACGTGAATGCGTTTCTTTCATGCTTCAGTAGCATTTGGTCCATTGATGAATTTTTATAAAAGCTGTACTCCAGACAGAAAATCTCTTTGAACAGATTTTTGAGTTAAAAACATTTTTACTTATCAGTTACCATGTAACACACATAAAATAAGTGGTGTATTTTCACACATTTTGTTTATTTCTAACAAACTGAGCAGCTATTTGGTATCCTACATTGCAGAGCGCATATTATCATCACAGACACTCAGCTGCAGTTGACTCCTTCTATTGAAAATATTAGAATTTCAAAGAGAAATAAACTTTGAAATCCTATTCAATATCTCTCTACTTTCTAAAGATTGTGTGTTAGCCTACCCAATAGCTTGAACACCATTATTTGTTGCTCTGCTTCTTAAAGCTCACGATATTAACTTTGTCTGAAGCATGCCCCAGAGAAATTATTTGCTTTCAGAAATGAACAATAGATGCAGAACTGAAAGATTCAATTGATAAGATCCATTCACAAATTGCTCTGTCAATACGGGTTACGAACCGATACAAAAGAGAAGCCGCACTAAAATATAGCTCTGTCTGCTTCAATTGTAATTAATCAAATGGAACTATATGAGTATAGTTCAAAGTTTAACTGCCATTTCATACAACAGTCAAAAGCTGAAAGGCCGTTTTAATTTCATTCCCATCTACATTCTTTTTATGAGAAAACAAGCTAAGATACTTTTTGATTTTCACTGTTTGTTAAGACATTTTGTGTTTCTTATTTCAGTGATTACAAGCAGACGACGCTGCAAGTTCTCCATCGTTTCAAGTCTTTGGGGCTATCTTCTTCAATAAAGGCTGAAACTACGCAGATGGACTTTTTCAAGATTGCTGTAAAAACGTTTAGACCAAAGCATATACTGCATTCAAGAGTGCTGAATTAATCATAATGAATGACGGCTCTCTGCTGTTCCTATTGCTTACTACACCAATCCGCAGTCGCATTACTGAACATACTTGGGACAGAACTACCTACCCTTTGTGTGGAGCGGCCCAAACGGGCTCTCGCAGTGGCACTCGGTGCCGAGTGGCCTGTGCCTTCCTTTCTCCTCTCCTCCTGTAGGTAACCAAAATGTCATCTATCACTTTATCAAAACATTAGTCACTTCCTCATCACCTGATGAATTCATACTACTCAAATGACAGAGAAAAATTAGAAATTGGCCACGAGAGGTGTGTTTCCAGTCACAGGGTAGGAAACATACGGAGCTGCCTTTACATGGCCTGATGAGAATGTGCACTCCCGCTGGATGGCTGGACATGCACTTCTCTCCTTTGCCTTCGGGACAGGCAGAGCCAGCAGTGAGCCACGGGGTTTCTGAAGGCAGGCTGGGGAATTCTGGAAGTTAGTTGCAAACGAGACACATTTGTCCATATGCACTTTGCAAAGGTGATCAACATCAAACGGACCACCACACATCTTTCAGCTTTCCATGGGCTAGCATTAGAAAGGGCTAGCTTTAGGAAGCAATTAATTAATGGCATTTCAAACTTTTCCTTCAATTCACCAACATGGAACAGGCCTGAAGACAAATTATCAAGCAACACCAGCAACTACCTGTCCCTCCGCACATCAGTCTCGGGTCTTTTGAGTCAAAAAATCTGAGGATTTTTTGTCTTTGCTCTTCCCTCTTCTCCTGCCTTCCCAGCTATATTCAAAACTCTTTATGCCTAGAGTTTGCTAAACTATCTTAAAAAAGCATACTTACCATACTTATACAGAAACAGGACACATGATGTAAAACAAGTGACTGACAACTGTAAAATGTCTAAAAATATCACACCGATCCAGTCTAACAAGTAGGTGAACATTCATTGTAGCACAAAGTCCTGGAAAGAACTGCCTTTAGAGGCTGTTGTACCTTAAACCTCCATAAGTAAGGCTACCGTTCTACATTATCAAAGTAAATATACTGAAAAAACTGATGATCAACAGTTTCTATCAGCGATATATATAGAGGTACACCTATACTGATGTATGTTTACTTCAAATGAAGTAAACAGACAGTACATCTCTTTTAAAGAGTAATAATAATAATATTCAAGGACTAGATTGTAACCTCATTGACTGGGGAGTTGGGCATCCTCTCCCTACATTAAAGAAATGAGAAAAGATCAAGCTGTAGCATATTAAGCATATGATGAAAAAAGCATACTAGCACAAATCACGATCAAGTTACAAAGTGATTCCAAATGAACCATAATAAAAAATGTTAAGGATTAACCTAAAGATTTACACTGTACGCCACATTATGCTGCATCTATTGTGGTTTGTTGACATACGATTGGGAAAGAAACGTAAACCCAGCCAGATGAGAAAGATAGACTCCACGTTAATTGAAAAAGACAAACTAAGTGAATAATGAGTATATAAAAAATAGCCTATGCCATTTTTATCACCCATATATGACACTTATTCTCAAATTTATGGCAGAGACAATTGAACTATGTTTCAAATCACTGGAGGTTATTTCTTACCAG